GTTTTCTTTCCCCACAAAGTTCTCAGACTCCCCTCTCTCACACAGTCCAGCTCTAGCAAGGAGGCTGCAAAGAACCCCTTACTTCCTTCCCAGAAAGCTCCCTTCCCTGGGACCTGAGGAGCCTTAACTTCCCAAATCCCGCCCTTCCTTGATGTCTTTTCCCCCCCCACCACCACCACCGTGAGCAGCTGGCCCAGGAAGGGGTTAAGGCCCTCATATCAAACCACAGCTTAGGTTTTGGCCCAGAAGGGACATGGGAACGGGGGCAGCGGGTTATAAAGGCCGGATTGTAGCAGCCCACTGGATTGGAAATGACTTGTAGGCCTAATGAAACAGAACTTTGGCAGTAAAACAGAATAAAAGGAATGAGACAATAAACGGCAAGACAAAGGGTGCAGAGTCGGTTCAGCTTAGCCAAATAAGCTCACTTTGTTGTTGGGAAAAGCCAAAGCCGATTAGGATAAACCAATGACTAAGCATAAGTCTTCCAAACTAATTACACAGCTCGCCATGTGAAGTCTAATTGGAAGTCTCCATGGCTCTCACTGGAGTCCTGTAGAGTCAGCATCACCTAGCAAGTAAAGCTGAGCAGAGCTGGGCACTGGAGCTGCCCTGGCATCTCAGGAGTAGCTAAGAAGTGGGAAACTTTCTGTTCTATCCAGGACAAGGCAGAGGGGTCATTCTGCTTCAAGGCCTCTTTGATCCCAAATCCCTTGCAAGAATGTAAGTAAGAGAGTGGAACTTGAAGGAGGGGCCCTAAGAGAAGTGGAGAAAGGAAGAAGAGGAGGAGGGGGAGGGGGGAAGAAAGGAGGGGGATGAGGAGGGGGAGGAGGGAGAGGAGGAGGGGAAGAAGGAGGGGGAGGGGAAGGGGAGGAAAGGAAGGGGAGGAGGGGGAGGGGGAGGCACCTGTGTGTAGGGAGGGCTTCTCCAGCTCAAGGCACTTTGGTTAAGAGGTGAGCTCTTGGAGTGGCTCTGCTCCAGCATATCAGAGCATCAGTCATCTGCCAGGATTTGGAACGGTCTATATACATCATTCCCGTACGTATGAAATCATGAACACAGATAATGTTCACCGAATAACCAAGGCAGTTAAATAAATTGCTGGAGATCAGTGTTGCTGACAAATGAATACACCACACCGTGCTCCCTATGCAGAAGAGTCAGCTGACTTCCAAAGCAGGAGGCAGGGATCCACCCAGAGTGCAGAGGCTAGCTCGTGCCCCAAGTGCCCACTCCAGCTTTACCCAGCCTGGACTGTGTGACCTTAGACAACTTACTTCTCATCACCCACATAGTGGAGATGCCAGGTGTCTCATCTGACATCCTTGAAAGCACATTTTAAAGTGCATTAAAAGCTCGGCTCCAAACACATGTAACTGTAAAAGACAAACAGCAACACGAAGTAAAACTATCTTACCAGTAAAATCTGAACATCACAAGTTTTGATCACTTAAACCTAGTGCCTGGAACAGGAAGACTTAAAGTAACTTACTCAGTTTTTCTGGGTCTTACTCATAGGATGAAGATTCCAAATTATAAATAGTGCTTTTTTCCAAATACAGAATGCAGTCTCAAATCAAGATGCACTGCCCCTGCATCATGAAGCCCAGAAATAAACTTACTGTGTTGAAGACTGTTTTGCTTACTACATACCATGCTGACTACTGTGAGCAATGTATTCTTTGGTTAGTCTATAAATACACTGGGTTATAATCTATCTACCTATATTTAAACACTCTCTACAGGACCTTCACAACTTAAAGACCTGCCTTAGGAATAATTCAGTTCAGGGGTCAACAGATCTGCCTCTCTGTTTTTATAAAGTTTTATTGGAACACAACCACAGCCATCTGTTTACATGCTGGTTGCAGATATTTTCACCCTACAGAAGCAGAAGTTACAACAGAGACCATATGGGTTGCAAAGCAATTTACTAGCCTTTACAAATCTGTCAACGGCTTCCCCAGAAGGGAAACTGAGGCCAGAACAAAAGTCTGCCAAGGTATTGCTGGAGGTCATCCCATGGTCAGGACCAGCACGGAAGCTTTGAAATACATTCTATCTTGCCATTCTCCATGGAAGGCACCAGAAACAGCCACCTCAGTTTGTTGAGTTCTGTGCCGACAGCTTCATTTCATGATCACATTTTAATATAAACAAGCATCAGCATCTTTAATGGGGGGAGAGGTCTTCTGAGGGGAAGATGGGACAAAGCAAAAAGGGTTGCTAAACGTCCATTCTGAGTTATTTAAAACTCTGTGTCATTTGGTACCCAGTACACTTTGAGCAAAGACATATCTAAACTACACTCAGCTTAGCCCCTTGATAGCAGCTGTGTCCATGTTGACTGCCACCTGAAATAAACAGCTGGAGCAGCTGCCACCTCAGGCAGACGGAAAAGGGGACAGGACATGATAGTGAGTGAAACCTGAAACGTGGCACGCCCCGCACAGAGGCTGTAGTGAGATGGAGCAGAGAGGAAGCAAGGTCTGCATCTGGTGCAAACTTAAACCCTTCCGGTCTCCATTATCCTCCCCGTCAAGGAGGCGACAGGACACCAATCTTCTCAATGCAGATGGAAGGTGTGGATGCCCAAGTCTGGGGCACCCCTCTGTTCAAATCAAAGAGACCCCAAGCCTTCCTCTCCTGACAGCACTAAAACACCATTTATCTGAAACACAGGAACACCACCATCTCACAGAGAAAAATTAAGGACAATGTAAGGAAATGGCTTGAGCTGCCATGTGACAGTTGGTAGTACTCCTTTCAATCCATAGCTCGCTAATTTGGTTCTAGACAGCCCCTAACAACCTCCCACAGCCATATGTGTCTGTGTGCACACCGTGCAGGTGCATCATGTAGCACAGAGAGACAGAGAGAGAGAGAGAGAGAGAGAGAGAGAGAGAGAGAGAGAGAGAGAGAGAGAGAGAGAGAGAGAGAGAGAGAGAGAGAGAGAGAGAAGAGAGATATACTTTAACAAAGGGTAAAGTCGGTGTGTCATTTACCCGCTACCTCTTTGATTATTCTGGATTCAAATGGACAATCAGAATCCAGAGAGGGCAGCATCCGACCCAGCGAGTGCCATGTTAGGGAAGATGGTCTGTGACTGCTGCCGAGACAAAGGGACAACTGTTCTCACGGCGGTGTTGGAAGCGGCTGTGAGCAAGGCCAAAGCTTGCCGGGCGGCCCACTGCTGACACTCTGAGTCACGACTGTTTAAGTGCTCATGAGAAAACAACAAAGAGGACGGAAGGAAGGACGAGGGAGAGACCTGAGAGGGAAAAGCAGCAAGCCTGGGGATGTGCAGAGATGCGCTGTCTGTTGCAAGTATAAGCCTGTCTGAAATACAGCAACAGCTCATCCCGACAGCCGCAACCTCCCTGACACCTGCAAATGGGCCTATGAGATTCCAAGGCAGGTTATGGCTCGAAAAAGAAATCCCACCTCTCGTTTGCAAACACTACCCCTGGACTCAATTTGAAGGCAGAAAGACAGCAAAGAGGGCCCACCCTCCAGAGTGTGGTGCAAGAAGGACTTGTCTCATTTAATTACTTCCAATCCTTCTCCCTAGGCAGGGAGGGGCCAGTGATGGATACTTCCCCCTAACACCATAAATCACTCTTGGAAAGAGAAGCCCTGTAACTCCAGTGGCCATCAGCACATTTAGCTTCCCCAGTGAGCCACCCAGAATGAATCAGACCCCAGGCAGGATGTTCAGGAGGATTCTGAGGAAGGTCTCTTTCAAAACCCACCTAGGTGGGCAATTCCATGCCATTTCAAATGCACAGCTGAACTGGAAGATGCTGTTTTCTTTGTTGTATGGCCTCCCATCCACACAGAAACTTATTAATACAAAGGGGGGGTCTTATTTTCAAAGCTAAATAAAGGTCATAGCCCTCATCTCAGGCAGTGGCTCATGGAGGGACACAAATGGTGATTGAGTCATAGCTGCCGCTGCCCTGGGCAAGCAAGCAAAGCACAGAACTTTCAGGCCAACTGGTGGGTGGCAGTGCCCTCATCCTGGACTACGGCAAACAGGACAGCCATCGTGGGAGTAAATGAATGATAAAAGCTTCGAGTGGGTATTGCATCTTTCCAGGATACCACAGAGCTCTGCCACATCAGCCTGTCAGCAGGGAAGACACTATGATGGAAAGAGCTGGCCCATGCTTGGGCTCCCATGACAACACCCACAATTACTCAAAGAGGCAGGAAGCAGAGGGCCAGCTCAGCCATTCACCTGCCAACCTCCTTACACCTATGGCTTCTGTGGGAGCTAGAGAAAGAGGACCACGTAAAGGCAAACACAGGGCAGCATGACATCTAAGGAAGAGCCCCCTCATATGCTGCTGCCTCTTTCACCAGCTTGAAAGCAGCTGACAAAGACATCACCCACGGATGTCCGTCCCACATATCTATCTAGCCCCCACACACCGTCTTGCCCCCATTCCTGACTGAGGACACCTAGGCCTAACAGCATACTTCAGGGAGTCACTTTGCTTCTGTCTCATAGGCACTCTGGTCAAAATGATGATGGATATAACCAACATCTTTCCCAAGTCTCTTTGGGCACTTAACAGGGGAATGTTCTGCTGCCAAGGGCCCAGGACCCTCATTTCTGAACGTCATCTTCCAGAAATACAAGGAATAAGGAATCCTAGCACGGTGCACAGGGCTTTGCATCTCACAGCTTCTGTGGGTGCCTGTGCCCTGTGAGTCACAACCCCACATCCTTCCCCAGTCCTGGCCCCATGCGGCTGGCAAATGACAGCAAAACAGTACTGAAAGGCCATTCTGTGTGCTCCTGCAGGCGCCCAAGGCTCCATGCCAACCAAAGCCTGACTCTTCCACTGGAGAGCTGGAGTTTCATGTAAATCCCGACAGGGAAGTTCAAGGACCCAATTCTAAACGACACAGCTATAGCATCATCCCAGGTATCCACATCTGAGGATCCACCCACACCTGTGGGTGACTACTGTCTGCCCATGGGCAGCACTTACCTTGCCAAACTGCTCAAAATACTGCTTTACATCTTCCACTACAGTGTTCGCAGACAACCCTCCTACAAATATTTTCTTTGTTCTTGTGACCATCTGCAAGAGATGACAAGAGGAGGGCACAGGTTAACTGGGTTATCAGAAGCAGTGTTTGGTAAGACACTTCAACAAGCCTTGCTCCATGTTCTTGCAGGAAGGCAATCTGGAACCTGTCTTAGCCTCATGGACCAGACCATTATATAGTTAAGGATGCTGGAGCCAGCTATCCTGCATTATCTTAGGCTTTCAGTCTACCAGAGTAGACTGGACTTCTTGACAGGAAAAGGAGCCCCCAGGACCTCTGTGGCCACAAAACATGACTTCATTAGTATATTGAGAAAAATCCCACAGCAGGTTATTTTAAAATAGAGGAGACACAAACAAAGCACAGACAGATGCAAAAAAAGACGATGCTCAGATAGTAGCCAAAACCTTGTCAATTATGACCACACAGCCAAGAAGATGTGAGCAGCACAAACTGCTCTTGATGGTTGTTTTTTAATTGGATGGGTAGGGAAAGCGGGTGGGGTTGGCAAGGGTTGTGGGAGGGGATATGATCAAAGCCTGTTGAACAGAGTTCTCAAGGAACTAATAAACTGGTTTTTAATTGAATACATAAGGACTAGGGATAGCTCTTGCTTCAAATGCTCAAGGCCTTGGCTAAATCCCCCGTACTTAAAAGAAAAAAACTGTAGACACAAGTCAAAGGACGTGTGTACTTTCTATGCTCAGCTCTTCTCAGGCTGCCCTGTGCCTGTAGATAAGACAGGTGCTGACCTCCCACTCAGGGACCACCCTGCAAGCCCCGACCTGACACACCTTCAAAGCCCTCCCGACTCCCTGCAGCTCACCTTGCTCGACCCTATGCCATCCCCACTAATCCCTACGTTTCCACACCTCTATCCTCACAGGTCTTTCTCCCTGGAATGCCTCTCCACTCCCAGATCATCCCATGGCAGGCCACAACCATCTTCCAAGTTTCCATGACCTTCTTCTAACTCCAAAATATGCATGTGCTATCCCAGCCAGCCTGACACTAGTCTCACCTCCTCTGAAGTCACCTGATACTGGAACCATCCACAGCACCACAGCTAGCTCTCTCTCTCTCTCTCTCTCTCTCTCTCTCTCTCTCTCTCTCTCTCTCTCTCTCTCTCTCTCTCACACACACACACACACACACACACACACACACGTCCCCGATTCACACTAATGGCTTTCTCCTTCAAATCCAGGCTCTGAGTCTGCAGGACCTCTATGACACCAACAACGGGACTAGGCAAACAGAAGGCAACACTGAAAGCCAATAAATGCAAAAATGAACAAATGTGGCCCACATTCTAGAATCTGGCTAGCCCTAAAGGAAAGGAAGCTGAAGAAGGGCAGAGTTTGAAACTGCCAGAATCCTGTCTCAAAAGAAAACAAAACAAAAAGAAAGCAAGTAAAATAATTGAAAAAAATCTAGTAAGTAGGAAAATAACATTGGGCACCAAGACTCATCATTCTGACTTAATAAAATCAATGTTATCTATGTTATTAATGCTAGATGAAGGACACAGGACAGGTACCACACCTTCAGGGATAGTTATCACACTAGGACTATTAAAATATTTGGTGAGTGGATGAATGAGCCAACATACCCACAACAAATCACCCAGATGTCATGCTGCACATCCAGGGAACGCAGCTGACATGTTGGAATATAAAAGACACTAGAAATCCAGCACCGGTGTCTCATGGCACTTGTAACTCTAGATGGGATTCACTCTCTTGGATTTGGATTCTCTCCTCTACTTCACAAGGTGCTGTACCAGGTCCACAAAGTCCCCCCGCCACCCATCTCCCCAACCCTCAGGAGTCCAAGACTGGGTTGACTGAGTCAGAAAGAGGCATCCAGATTTCAGGACGCTTAGGCTTTAGCAGGCAGCTCTCGGTGGGCACATAAGCCACGTGGCCGATGGCTGATCCCAAACTAGAGCGAATGAAGGCCTTTCAAGAGTTCACTGTGACTCCTGCCAGCTGCTTCCTCCTGTTGCATGCAAGCACTATGAGTGTCGAGCTGTCGTCTGCTGGTTTTCTCTTCCCCAATGACTAAGGCTAAGGGTGAGATGACAACACGAGTGAGGGCATTCTAGTAAAAGACCCTGCCAGGATCCAAACCACAGTGCCCACCTCGCGGGCTCTCTTGATGAGCTGGCTGCAAGCTCTTCTTGCTCCTGACATGAACTCCCCCTCTTACCTGTTTCTAAGATCCTCCTGATAGACCAAGAAGAGCTCCTTGATGGTCAAACTCTATCAAGGCCATGTCATGGTTAATCTTGACTGGGAACTAGAGTGGACTGAGAGAGGTGAAGACTTCAGTAGAGCACACCTCTGAGTGTGTCTATGAGGGCATTTCTAGCACTGACTGACAGGTACTAAACAGCAATGAAGGGGGAACTACCTGCCCTGGGTACGGGAAGCACTATGCCTTTAAAGGCCAGAGGCCCAGTGAAATAAAAGTGAAAAACACAACAAACCCAGGCACATTCATTTATTTTCGTACTCATTCACACTCTCCACACTGTTTCCAGGTCTCCATGCTATAAGCTGTTTCCCGCCACTAAACTGAACTGATACCTCAAGCCAAAAGCAAATCCCCGCTCCCTCAACTTGCACTCATTCATAGCAATGAGCAAGGCTAACTGATCTGAGCCTTCTTTGGATTTCAATCTCTTCCTAGACTTACTAATGGTCTAATTCTACAAGCTTAACTTCCCCAGTGTATTCATTCAACACACCCCTCAAGTGCGGGGCACAGGAGCATATACTGTAAGAGAATGTGGGATTCAATCCCTTATAAAATGGAGATATAACAATTAGCTTAGCACACAAGCTCCCACGAGGCCTAAGTTAAATACCATATGCCAAAGAGTCTAGCAGGGCACACTGAAGGTGACAGCTAAGCGGCCGCTACAACTGAGCCCAGAGTCAATTATTAAATTCATCCTTTACACTTAAATGTACAGTGGAAAAACATTTATACAAATAGCTTTAAAAATAAATCAACTCCTATAACGCCATCCTAAATGTCAGTAATTTCAAAAACACATTTTTTTCATTTCTGTGTAATATCTGATAATCCTATACTTTAATTTTGCTCCCCCCACTTTAAACTCCAACCAAGCAATTAAATATTTGTGAAGAAATGTTAGCACAACCTCAGATATATCCTAGTGGAGGCCTCAAAGCACCTCTGGTGGAGCCTTCCATGGAGGAAACCCTGTCACCTCCTCATTGCTTAGAGATGGGTCACACAATGCTGAGGCCCTACCTAGATTCCAAACATTCCTGGGAACCCAGAGGAGAAAAAACGACCACCCTGTCTTCATCTAAACTCCTGAAGCTTGGCAACTGGCTAAATGAAACGATCTCTTCATACCCCCTCCACTGTTGCCTGGCAGCTGTGAGCATGCCAAGACAGAGCCCTAAACACAGAAACAGGCAGCCAGCTATAAATCCACACCACCTCCCCCCAAAAGCCTTTAAAAACCCTTCCCTTTCTGGAAGGATGAGAAAATCCAGGCCCTGGACAATGCCCCAAAACATCGGAGTTACTAAAACATCCTTTCTAGGATCTGGCTCAGATAGAGTGATGGCTTTCAGTCCTCAGCAAACACTAAAAAGAAACTGGTTTCATCACAACCTGCCAGACATGAAAAAGCTAGAGGGGAAATGTTAGCTTGGTTAGCAGCTTTGGGAGAGGGGAGCACAGCCAGGGGGCGGTGGGCGGAGCATCATGAACCTCTCCCACCGGGGGTGGGTGGATGGGCAACGGGGTGACCTGCAATCACACATTGTCCCCTCTTTCTCTTCCATCTCCATGGCTACTAAGGAGGGCAGGAGGCAGGGAGACTGGGATGCTGTGCTCAGGCTCCCCATGGAACTTAACAGGAGCATGTAAACAGTCATGTAAACACCATGCAAGGTTTGTGTGTAGAGGTTAAGTGTGCACATGTGCTCATGTGTAATAAAGCACACTGATGTACGTCCAGGGTAATTCTAGTCCATCCTGAGTCCTGGCTTCTATTTCCTCAACACTATCCAGTAGCCCTCCAAAGTTTAACCTTCTCCTGACCTTGGAAACAGTGACTAGGAAAAAAGTATGAGCTGGTCTCCAGCTCTGTGATCATCTGAGGTATGAAAAATCCTTTCCACCTGGTGAATGAACCACTGGCATCATCTTTCTGCAGACTTGACAGTAGCAGACTCCACACATGGGGATCTTGAATACTGGCCACCACACACGAAAATGAGCAAGGGCCACTCTTGGCTCTCACACTTCACTGAGATGGAAAAGTCACTGAGATCTCAGTCCAAAAACTTCCAAGTGATTAACCTTGACTTCTCTCGGTTGGGGGGTTCAGTGGAGGGTTGCAGGAAAACTTCAGACTGGAGTACATTACACTACCGAGGATGCAAGGGACCTATCCAGGAGCCCTGAGGTCCCAGGATTACAAGGACTCCAAGGCTTCTGAAGGTGTCTCTCCCTTTATGGCTTAGGGTGTTCCTCTGGGAAGTGGTATAGAGGGAGGTTGGGGGAGTGTGTGTGTGTGTGTGTGTGTGTGTGTGTGTGCATGCGTGCACGCACACGCACGCACACACACACATGGGAGAGCAGGGCATGGTCAGGCTCTCAAGGCCCTGCTGTGAAGTTTTGCATCTAGACCCATAATTTAACTAAATACCAAAACTCTCCACACACCCCTTGGTGCTACAAAAGCCCCAGCACACATGCCAGTTCTGAAAATTGCTGTTTACATGTGGCCTTAGACAGCTGCTAACTACAGCTGCAAAGACATCCCACCTTCTAGCCTCAAACTGCTCCTGCTTCGAAGGAACCTCATGCCCTAATGTGAGGCTGGTGCAGGGAGAGCAGAACCCAGGAGAACTGTAGGAAGAGGAAACCTGGGCTCTGAGCACACAAAAAAGAAGGGCCAGAGTTTGCAACTGAGTGGACTGCAGCCAAACATCAGAGACAGGAGAAAGAGTCTGTGCTCAAGAGCACGGCTTTTCAGGGG